GGAGATCGAAAAAAGTGATACATGGAATCAAAAAGTATATATTAATAAATACCTTGAGTTAAATCGTACAGGACAGTTAGATTAGGCGCGTAATTCATTATGTGGCGAATCGAAATCGATACATATCAGTGTAATTAGCAGAAGTCAATGAAAAAATTTCATAGCCAAATGTATAATTCTAATAATCAAGATATTACAAGATGCCCGCTGCTGAACATAAATAGGTACATAAAAGTTTTCGAAGCGACCTGCATTCAGCAACGGCCTGTGACCTTTATCAGTTAGTTGACCTTGTGGCTAGATTTTCTAATTTCCTCTCCGAAGTCGACCACAAATATATACTTCCAATTCCGACCCCGGAAACATGCTCGAGACTTGGAGGTCAGCAATCGAACTCATGCCATTCGAACGTCGACAGTTTTAAAAATATTTTGTCATTACCTATATCGAAAATATTATTAGTATTAAATTAATGTCCCTTTGTGATCATAGAAAGTGAATTGTTTTTAGTTTATTTATCAGTTTTGTGTACGCTTGGAAGCACCATCTACGATACATAAGCATAAACTAGTCTTCCTCTTACTTGGTACATATACCGCCACCTACCAGGTTTACAACAAAATTCCAATAAAGGTTCTAAAGGTGCGCCACTGAAACAGTCGGAATGTTCAGCAACGAGTTTGTGCTTTCATACAACGCCACCTATCGGCGGTATTGAGAATCAATAGGGTTGGCGAGGTACGTAAATATGCGAGAGGAAAACATCTTTTAAAGGTAATATTATTTCAAGTCACGATGAAAAGCGCTGAAGTAAATTCAGATGGCGCTCTAGTCGCTTTAGTTCGCGCTGCCTCGTTCGTATGCGCTAGTAGCAATAAAGTTCATTTTCGTAAACATAGTAAAACTATCAGGATCCAATTTGTTAATGGAAAAAATGGAAACACTTTTTTTAATGAACCGAATTTAGGGTTTGTTTAATCTTTATATTTGTTTTTAACAAAAACAAATTTCTAATGACACCTGTTTTCCTTCGAAAAGACCGGCAAAACTGGGAACAATTTTGTATAGTGTTCGTTTACGTCGTTAGATGGCGTTAGCATACTGAATATCTTAAGTCACGGTTACGTTTCGTCTAACAGCTGTTTCAGTATGAATGAATATTAGAACACAACAAAGCTATATGCACCAACTGCGGTATTTCGTTAGTATTTTACATTTAAAAACATAAACTCGAAAATATTTAACATTTTCACTTTTTTGCCGACTGATCGCAAGTGATACTCGTTGCTCGAGCAAACGAGCAAAAAAAAAGCGACGGTCGACGGTCGGGTTCGATTCTTTATCCGAGCAAAGTATTTTTCAGTTTTCTTTTTTTTAGTTACACGTTTTGGTATTGCATATAGTTTAACTTATATAACACATTTTTATTGCCTATTTGATTTTTACAATTAGTTTTCGAACCGCACGCCACGGCCAATCTATAATCGCGAGATAAAGACATTTACCAGCAGCATTTCAGTGTAATCCAAGACAAAACTTGTGTATAATTTTATATTTTTCAATAGTAAAATGATAGCTAAGCGCACTTTTCACAACGTGCATTCACTAACGAAGCCCCAACAAAAAGACTCCGTTCGAAGCCGGGTCAGGTATCTAGTTAGCGAATTTACGATATGAGGACCCCTTCACATATGCAGAGGCCTAATTAGTAATCACATCGTACTTTGTCAAAGAAAGGCAGTTGCAGTATAATAATAAGCATTTTATAGGATACCTGTTTTCCTCCAGTTATGAGTCTCATGTAATCAAATGGGGTATATTGACGTACTGTACACTATAAATAACCCTGACCACAGTAAATTGGAGTTTCATTAAATATAACATCGTAAAGAAAATGAAACACCCACTTTCGGTTCTTATGGACTGTATAGTATTGCTACAATCAATATAATCGGAAAAAATAAGAGCATTTGGACATGCACCTTGGTCGGTATTCGCTTTTACACAACTCGATAAAAAGGCGTTAAAAAAATTGTAAAATGAAAAACTTCCTCTACACTTTTTCACACTAAATAATTGAACTAAATAGCTTAAATTATTTAATATTACTGTTTTCATACTATGACCCATTATAGTATTTCAATTTCAAGGAGAGGAAATAAAGTGAATGAACTATTTTCCGATACTAACTTACGACACGGCTTAATGTCATCGAGCGAGCGCCTAGACCCGATTGCAACTACTAAAAATTTTTACAACCAAATAACAAACTTCGCGAACGCGAACCTGGAATGCACATAGTCGTTAAAAATCTTGCATTTTGATCTAGCTAGAACTTCACTACGCTCTACGGAGCGAATCGCATCCAAATCATAAGTTATAACTGCGGAAACTGATGGGTTTCTTCACATTGGTTTATAAATGAAGATTATTTAGACAACAGTGACATATAGTCAAGTAAACAGTCGTCAGGAAACCTGGGTTTATAATTTCAAATTAAATTTTAAATATCCTATCCGGCATTAATCAATGGACAGGCTTGCTCCGTGAAAGAAGAAGCCTTTGCAGCAGTGGACATTTATAGGTTGTTATGATAACTTGACAATGAATGGCAGACATCTTAACTCATGTCTTCTTAACGGTTTCTCAGGGCGATCACTCTGCATTCGTAATTAAAAATACGTCGAAGCAGATAAAAGATAATTATACAAAACATTAAACGGGAGAAATCTTTATCCAGAAGTTGGTGTAGTTGGGCTGAAATGCTAACCCCAAACTGGCCTTTTAGGACGCAGATCTCATTCCTTAATCCATCTACATATTTAGTCCATTCACTAAGTTGATCTTTCTTGTCGTTTTCAGTCGCTACCATATATCGACCACAGCAGGAAACTAATTTCGCAATATTGTAAAAGCCATAAATCGGTCATCTCGTCCCCATCACATCACTATCTATCTGGTCACCTTGTGCTAAGGCCAACCTGGTCGCCTTGTTAAAACTTACTTTATAGTTGTACGCGATGGACTTAGTAATAAATAAATCATTTAATTATTAAACTTTATCCTAATGCGTGTTTTAGCCATTTTAATACGAATGCATAAAAATGGTCATTACAGAAAAAAACAAATACGTCCTGCCTTCCAGACAAATTACCACCTGAAATCCTCATTCATATGCGATGACAAAATCGCTTATTACTTGTCATCAGACTCCTTATATTTAGATCGAAAAGCGTGTAGCTAAGTGCACTTGTATTGGTTTTAAATTACCACATCAATTATGCAACAGGATTGATTAGTATACAGCCTTCAGCTAGTGAAAGGGGTATAAATAAGAAAGAAGACTCTTTACGTCATAAATGCAAGCCAGACGGTACGTAAATAGCCAGCCAATGATCTGTGAGAGACACACTTAAAATATGTAGAGGTTTGGGGAAAGGTCACCGTTTTAGGTTAACGTTAACATATTAGACATTTGACTAGCATTTCCGATGTTTATACTTGCATTTTCTAACATCAGGGGTGTAGAGTGTATAGTCGTAGTATGATGTGTGTAGTCACATCCACCTGCGGGACCTATTTCCGCGTCGTAAGCATTTTTGCATCACACGAATAGCAATAGTGCCGTCACATACTTTGTGGTGTGCAACCAAATAGTTTTACCGCTTAGTATATTATATTTCCATTATTTAAATCTGTTTAAATTAAATCCAATCAACCAGTGAGTGTGGTCAATGGTCAAGCAGTCCAAATTACAACTAAACAAATATCAATCACGAATCTTGCTATTTCAACCGAATCTCAGTATTTGCATTTCACCGGTTATGTCAATTTGCTAGACCTATATTAAACGAGAATAATAACATGGCTGACCTATATTGGGACACATTGATTCAAATAGCCAAGATATTGAACTTCAAAAGGACACTTGGCTAGTTCTCGATATAAATAGACACAGGCGAGTTTACAATGGACCGATTTGTTTGTGCAACCGTGCATCGTCCATGTCCATGAGTAAGATTGACATCAATCATAGAACAGAAGGGGTGATACTGTAGGCGAACTAGGTCTCAAATCAAACTATTAAGCGGTGCATGTTTATGTGCACCGGTACACTCAATCTTCGACCAGTCTGTATTGTGCCACTGCTGACTAAAAGAGATCAGACGGAGAAGAAATAATCATTAATAATATTGCTTACTTCAGTTATTCGCTAAATGATTTTAAAGTCCAGGTTTCCTAAAGGCATTTTCTTTCCGCATGCCAGCGACGAAATAAACTTAAAAAGTAAAAATAACTCGGAAAAATTACTTTGTTACCTACTTGGTTAATTTTTAACTCCCATGTTTGAGAAGCCTTATGCTCCTAAACTTATAATCCTAAACAATGTGCTTAGTACCTAGCAGTATTCCGTATAAGTAGGAAGCAATAAGCTCACGACAGCTCACCACAGAGGATGCAATTAAGTAGGTAGTTCCAAAGCTGGTAGTTCTAAACTATGTTGCAATTTATGTTTACGTATTGACTTTGCTGCAACCGTATTGCTGACGATACAAACTAATTCGGAGTTTAGGTCAGGTCGATTCCTGTGATGGACTTCAGAGTTCGGTGCTTGAATTCTCGCGCCCTACTACAAAGGACTGAAACAATAGAGCACTCCTATATATTGTGTGCCCCTACGGAGGTAAACAGATGTGCCTGCGTAATGCAATATCAAAGTTATCTGCTCACCGCATTGAGTTCAGAACTAAATTATAACTCAAACGAGGATTTCATCAAGCTGACAACCTTAGTTTATAAATACACTCTAATAAAAAGGGAATAAAAATACTACCTTCCAATACTGTTGCTTGTATATTTACAAAACATAAATACAACTCGGATTCAGTTACGGAACTACTTCTATGATTGCTTACACTTGGCTTTTAGTAGTTCGAGTACCTGCTATCTTTCTTATTTTCAACTTTGTATCAAACTAAAAGTAAAATATAAAAGCTAGATTATTTTATAGTTGCTTTAGAATTTAGATAATCTAGTTTCGCCTCTGTTGAGCATCCACAGAAAACAATTGGGTTAGAAATAACTCGTGACATAATGCAAGCGGATGCGTTAAGCTTCGTACACTTATGGCGACTTAAGGTGTTATCCAGAGCTGAACTCGGACCCATTTTGAGGTAGAACAACGTGTAACTTCTGTTTGGTTTTCCCAGAGGGGGCAGGTTGGAGGTAATCCTCTTCCAAAGCAGTGTCTCAGTATGCATAGTACTTAGAGCCATTTTGCGGTACCCACAGTCTACAAAAGAGGAATCAGTGCTGCTGGAATTGAACATCCCTATAACTACCCAAATCAGATATCGAACGCCGTGAACTTTCGAGCTTTCAAGGAATTCGGTAGTCACAACCGCAAACGAGACGAATCAATCTGAATACCACTAAGTTAACCAATTGTTCAAACGATACTACTTAATGCATGAAACGCTTAGAATAGTGCTTCGCTAACCATTTTCAAATACTATTAAACAACTTCATTCAATTGCAAATTGTAATGTGTATTTGAGGAATTTTGATGCAAACTTTAGTTCCCTGTGTGCAGAAATGAGGTGTTGATTGACCAAGCATTTCAATTCCAAGTGAATACGAATTCAAAAGCTGTCACAGAAATAATCCACCTTTTGATACCGACTCCCAATTATACAGATTGAATATTACGAGCACTATGAATGAATGACCAAATCCGGCACTAACTATGTATGAGACACGTAGAAATACTGGGAAATTGAATACCAACGCTTTTAACAGAAAATGAAACACATTTTCACAGGTAGTGAAGGGATAACATCGCGCATACGTTATCTATTCCGTAAAAAATTGGAAAAACCAGGATGTTAAATTTAAAGTTAGTCGAGCGTTGCAGGAAGATAGGTACTAGGATTTGGTAATAGATCTAACATCTTTGGATTAAGACTGATTAAGTTTCTGTCAAAATCTTTTCCTGGGATTTAAATTTAAGTCTGTTTTTGATTTCAGACGTTGATGACATTAAGTTTATCTAACTTTTGTTTAAAGCTCGGGCGAAACAAATATATATAGACACTAATTTCTGATAACGATGAAATTTTTTTATCTGTCGGTTTGCAGGGCGGGCTTGCCCTTGCGAAAGGATAGAAATTAGAACCCATCAAAACCACTCTATAAGAATCAAGTACGTTCAAATCGATAATGTTTTAAATGCACTCCGACGAATATGTCTACGTTTAGTTCGTTTTTTTTATTCTGATCGCGTCCCCTATCTAGTTCAAGTAAATGGTGGGTGTATTCAGCGCGACGATACTAGGTATTCCCCATATGTTAACTATCGATATTCCTTTCAGTGCTCCCTTTCTATAGGGTTTACAATGCAAACTTTCAACACGTCCAAGGGAATCGATACCTGCTTTAATAAGCACTTTTTCTAATTGCCGGAGCTTCTTAAATATTCACAATTATTGATTCTTTAGTTTCATACTGTAAACATACCTTGAAATTAACGTGTCTAACTGCACATGGTGTGTGTGGAACCCATTAGGGCGTGGCGTCATCGACATATCGAGACTTAGGTCCGACGATTGTGTGAGTGTAATACGTTAAAAAATTAAATATTGAAGTGAAAACTAGCCTTTAATATTTTTAAATATTAATAGTATTTGTTTATAACACCGTGCATTGAATTTACTTTCATTGTAAAGTACGTACTCAGGAGCGCTAGCAATTCAACTCAGTGCACCGAAAGCGGGAAGCGTCTACAGCGAACGTGGGAGTGTGGAATCAGGTGAGACATTATTTACTACAATATTTACACACATAGTGTACACAGTACAAATACAAGAAGATCAACTATGTGACGGGACCGAGGACTTCAATAGCCTTTCATGTAATCCCTAACTACAGATGTCTATGTGTAAGTACGAGTGTTATTACGTTAGTGCAAATATTACTCGGGTCCTTGCAAATATTTCGAGTTGGACCAACATATCCGAAACGTGATTTTTAAAAAAAATAGTGGTTGAATGTAGTCCACGTGCAGCTGTAGTTTTGACGTATCCGAATTGGTTTGCAGGCGAAAAAAGAAAATATGAAACGTATTAATTCCGAACCCTGCGCGTCCCCGCTGATGAAAATTCCAGGTAAAATTCGCGAAGAACAAATTAAAACGTAAACTTTAAAAACTCTCGGTACGCCCTAGTTAACGGATTGTTTTTGCTGTGAAAATTCGTCTAACTAAATGTCCTCATCATGGTCGAATGTAACTGTTATGTAATGGGTCAACATTTTTCGCGTAATATTTTAACGGCGCGAGTGAATATTACGCGCCTCTGAAATAAGCTTCAGCGTGTGACAACAAGTAGTATATAATAGTACCGGTTCCCACAGCCACTTGTTCGAGATACAGAGAACAGGTGCCAGTATCGAGGAGGACATCATGCGCGAGACGAGCAAGATGCAATTTCTAACAATCGACGAGGATCCTTTACGCTTCGTTTATTTTGCTCTATCGTTGTTTACTAATAATTTTATAAATGTTCATCGCAGAAACTAGAATTATTGAGTAGTATTTGAAGTACAACTAATAATATTAAGTACTTAACTTGAATGTAGCTTCGCTGAAGCGGCAAAATAATCATTGATACAAAATGTATGCAGAATTCTTTATATTTATTTAGTTTGAATAGTTACTAACACAACAGGTACGGTACTTGTTAGTTTCCCGCATGAAACAACAAATCTTGTAATACACAATTGTTCCGGGAACGAGTGGAACTTGCATAATAATATGTTTGCGATGGCAAATCTCTTTCCACACATGAGAAAATCTAAGTATAAAGCCAATATGAAAAAGGATATAGTGTCGGTCTACTGATGATTTTAGTACATATTTTTAAAAGTCATTATGCCATAACACCGCTCTAGCAATCATATGTCGATTCCCAAGATAAACAACATTAGTTAACCCTTATTTATAAGTACTTTAAATTTAAATCACTACCTTCCCTAGATTTCTTTAAAGCTTGCAATCGGCGACGAAGCGTTCAATCCAATATTGTCGCGTTTTATTTTATCATTTTTTCTTCGTTCCATCCTAGGAAGATCTCTTTACTTTATTTTAAGTAGCAACTAAGTTCAGCGGAGTCTTTAGATAACATCATTTTTATGAGATAAATTCTATCAACACTGCCGCCGTTAGCTGTACCTAGGGTAAAATTGAAATATTTAACGTTGAGAGCAATTTATATTGTAAAAGTGATCGATTCACTTTCAATTATGTCATGCACGCGTATTTTCATAAGCTTCATTAATTATGTGCATTGTAATACGATGTAATATCACATAATACATATGCGTATATCGATAGTATATCGAAAAACCATATTGGATATCATCGAGAAGCTATTAACCAGATTATTGTTGACATTTCAATTAATCCTCTTGTATTTTCACGGGACATCCGTTAAGTACAGTCAACCGCATATTTTAAAGTTAAGTGATACAGATTATATAGGTCACATTGCATAACGATATGTGGAGCGCGGCGCTTAAATGCAATCGCTTGGAATGGCCGTCAAGCAATGCTAGGCGAGGTTGGTATGAGGATGGGCAACTATTCTTATCATCCCAAGACTCTACGCGTTGGAGAGAAATCTGTGAAATGTGTTAAGGGTAATAGTTACAAGAAAAAAGGAATAATACGTAATAATTACACACTAGAGAACGACCAATGGACGAGATTCCACTGCATTTCTTTCAGGAAATGCTAGCTTAAGATTTTTATTTGCGATGCTCTAAGTGCTCTGATGTAGTGCTCGTAATTCATTTATTTCTAATGCATATCATCGTATATTATGTACTCTATAACTTTTATGACGTAGATTACATGGCGCTTCATATAATCGTGATCGAATGTAATTAATGAATCTCATAATTAATGAGAAATGGAATCCTAAAAAAGAGGTATTCGTTTAATTTTTTTACAATGGAACATATAGTGTAATAAGGAAAACATATTAGCGATTAAACTTTACACCCTCGAGACACGTAACAATAAAATGCAGGATTGCCTACCGCTAAATTCATAGTTACATCATATAAATCACTACATAGTATTTTTTAAGGCTGGAAAATAGTCGAATGGATGCTCCCGCCTGGGTGAGGCGGGAGGTCACTCTTACTGACTAAAAACCACCCCGTTCCTTCTCCTGCGCTTCGAGCTGGAGCCCCGTTAACCTGTTAGGTTCTCCGCGACCACTACATAGTATAAAACAAAGTCGCTATCCGCCGTCTGTCTGTCCCTATGTATGCTTAGATCTTTAAAACTACGCAACGGATTATGATACAGTTTTTTTAATAGATAGAGCGATTCATAAGGTAGGTTTATATGTATAATACATGCATATTGCACACGTGCGTAGCCGGGGCGGGCTCAAGTTGAAGTCGAGTATGTCTCAAAACTACAACCAACTACACAGAGAGCATGGCATTAGTGCTATGCTCTTTCAATTTTCAGTTGTCTAACTGAAGGAGGTGGTTAACCTTGTGAGACATGTATTATTAGGTAATATCACTATAATAACTGTCTACTACCTTACAGCAACTATGAAAATAGCACGCAACATGAAACTTTTATTACATTTTAAAATGTGTAAAACATATATATAATATGTGTTATTTTAAAATAACGCCGAAATAAAACAATAGGGATTAATTTATAAAATATGCATAAAACCGATGTAAGCCACGGTAGTCCATTTGTTCAGTTAATAAAATGGTTCGCTTTTATAATAAATATCTTGCAACTTAAAGCTTTAACAAAGGTGCTTGTTAAATATTTATTTCAACTTTTTACTATTTTATTGCTCACTATTGTATTGGAAAATCAAGTATTATAAAGAAAATACGAAGTATTTCCTCGCTTTTTAATGATAACTATTATAGAATAACGGAAAAATGAATAAAGGAGGCAGGAACATTTTCTGATCTCAATCCACGGGGTCGTTGCAAACAAAGACGTTTTTCTCCTAAGAAATGTTGCCCACCCCTTATCGATTCCAGTAATTGGCGCGTCGAGAGAAACAGTAGTAGTGAAAGTTTAAGATTATTAATAGTAGTTTTGTGATATAACTGACCTAAATCTCGCTAGGTCATTTTATTGAGGTTTAAAATCGGTGGGCCAGCAGCAGCCCCTCGTGTTTACAAATATGTTGCTTCGGGCCGCCGATTTCGCCCCCTCTCAGAAGCCGTACCGAACATAACAATGTGATTCCGAGCCCATATAGGTCATGGTATGTTACCATTCTTACGACTTACCTTTACGGGGAAAATCATTATAATATCAAATTACTATAAAATAATAATAATGTTTGAATAGCTTTATTCGTCGAAGGCGACAATCGCAAGCGAAGTTTCAGGTTGAAACGTCAGGCAAATTAGTAACGACAGGGATTTTTAATTATCAATATCAGGCCAAATACGTCCTTTCTGAACGATGGCCTCTTACAAGGTTTGCCACACCTACAAAACTTAGCAAGCGGTTTGTAGGGTTGCAGTTTGATTACCGAAAATTTAGAAGTTGCTGCTTCCCTCTAACAAACTTAGTTTTTTTTTAAGTTATGCCAACCAACGAGTTTACGAATAGTTTGATAAATGTAGATGCGCGAAAAGGGGATTCCATAAAAGTCACAGACGCCATGAATGACGATATGTATGTAAATTCCACAGAAACTACGGGATCTGAAATTACGTAAGCACTTTACTCCGCAGAACTACTGATTTGAAAATGAAAACAAACAGTAATAAAATTTCTCAATTCACATTTAGACTGAATGTCTCTAATCAACACCTGGACGTGAGAACGTGTCAAAAAGCAGACAACTGTTAGTTTATATTCGAGGGCTATAGTTTGAAAGACCTGAATTAGCAAATTTATAGCGTGGAAGCGTCCACCTCGTAACTTCTACGTGCGTTAATTATCACTCAAACTATTCCTGGATATCCAAATAGCAAACTGCAAGAGGCAAACTTTATCTACGTAGCGGGACTGGACGGTGGAGTCAGACGTATCAAAGTTTGATGTAGCTACACATGTATGTAGTTCGAAAGATCCCGACCACGGCTTATGAACCTTAATGCACTGCACACGTTAAGCTTAATTGTAAGCTATGTTTTGCGGCACATTATTATTTTTTGCATACTGCAAATATGAAACTAACATTTTGTAGTATTTGAGTTACGTTCTGTTCGTCATCACACGCCCGAAAGATCCACTACTTAACAAAGAATTTAAAAGTAAAGTACAGGTTTTAGTGCTTGTGGTGTGTGGGACGACCTGATGATAGTGTTTGTAAGTTCATAATACGTCCTAGGTTTTTGTGCCTCATGGGGAGCCCCTTATTGAGAGACCTATCTACGTACCGAATACCTTAGTCACTGAACAAAAGTTTAAATATCCGGGGTTGAGCTACCGTGGTCTTTGATACGGACGACTAATTGAGTCCCAACGAGCTTTGTTTCCTATCAGACTATTATAGCTGCAATCCAAAGGCTTTGGATGTATCTAACTACATGAAGCCTGCAGCAAGAGAATAATGCACGATAGCTCTTTATAAGGACAAATCCTTTATCATTTATGTTATTACATGTATGTATATGTTATTATCAAGGCAGTCAATTTCATGAGATAATTTAATCCATACCAGCCAGCAAAATCTTTGAACGTCATATACAAAGGCCCTTTGAAGTACACTACACACACAACTTTAAAATATGGGGCAGGGAAAATTTAATCACATTGATATTGAACTTGAACCGTTCATTCTTTGCGTCAATCCTGTATATGGCAGGGGCACCCTCTGTTTGATGAACATGTACGTACAAACAAAAAAAATAGTGCCGCGAGATACTTTCAGAAACACTAAATGAATGGGGTTGAGCGTTTTATTATTTTTAGAAATTTCAGTCTGGACCAATCACATCGGCTTACCAGGGTGGTGGGTGGCGAGACCACCACCTCCCTTGCAAGTAAAGGGGACCTAAACCACTAGATATCAAATATTCGCTATATCAGGAAGGCAAATGAATTACGCCGACCATTTAAACAACCTGTCATGGCAAGCGACTATCTTGTTTGTTTTTTGTCTCCGTTTCACAAAGTACTGGCTTATTGCATATTCGCAAACATGCGAGGAAAAGAAAATAATAAATACATAGACACATTCTATACATAAACTACGTTTAACGAATAAAAAGCTCAGTGCAGAGAGCGTGTATCTTTTACGTTTTGATGTTGTTCGTAACGAACGAGTTACAAAGGGAACATTTTATATTGCACTTTATGAGGAGTTTCTGTTTACAGTACTTGCATTAATTTATCTTTTGACAACTTGCTCTGCATTTCTCTACTGTGTGCAAATTATTATCTGCATTTTCTGTAGAACCGCTATCCGCCGCATAAAGTAAACAAACTAACATGACCTATCGGCTAAGATCAGCATCCTACAGATCGTGAAATCGGGCTCTCAAAGCTCTACAAGAATGAACATGTAAATACTAAATATTCCTTAACAAAGACGACTATCAGGAATGAGAATATTGATATTCGCAGTATATAGGTAAGCTCGTTAAAGCGCTGTCTGTATTTGAAGTGAGCACTAAGCTTCTTAGCGTATGTACGATGCGAGCTTACCCGCTTACCCCAATCAATCGTCTAGTCTAGACTTATGCAGCTACTGTGAGATAATCTATCTTAATGCATGTTGCTTAGTTATAATAGCGCCACCTGTTATTGCTACAACATTACGTACGCGAGGATTAACTTGACTCACAGCGCGCAACCTTATTTTTAAGAGATTTATTTTCATACTTTCATAGAGCAGGAACTAAAGTAACTTAGTTCGTAAGCAATAAAGTTCAATTTTCAATAAATTAAACGTATTACCAATTAATTCCAACATGCGAGGGCCTATGAGTGTACTTAATGTTTGACAGTGAACGCAGCGTATGTATATGACAACGTAATAAAGTGTTTTGTACCTGAGTACCGGTCACCGGTCAATTTTAATAAAGTTTTATGCATTCAAAATTGCAGCGCGGAAACAATAAAAGCACTGAGGGTTTAAAATGATGTAGTGTGAGTGATCGGACCTGGCGTGTTCACAAAGGGATATTCGTGTGTGTGTCTGTATGTGTGTGTGTTTGAGTGTGTATGTATATGTCTGTGTGTGTGTGTATCTCTATGTCTAGCGAGCGTCGCCCCCCTCGCGGTGTTCCCGGCCCAAAGTAAAAGCGACCAGCGCCATACTACGCTCGCGCCGCGGTTTCCTCAATTTTGCAACTTTCCACTGTAAATTTAGCAAGGATTTTGAACATACATGGACGCACGATCGATGCAAGATAGGATCTCCGATTGAATACGTTTAATGAAATGAAAATACTTTGCTAGTTTTATTACTATAATATTTTTAAACGTTTAATTAGAATCTATGACAGTAAGGTATATAATACTAGCCGCGTAACTATTACCCGCGACTTTAGATAAAGGTTCAACCAGTTATCAAACGTCAGTTTCGACATGTCCCGCGATAACAGTAGGTACATATTACCTAAGTTAATTTCCTTGTAGAAAATAAATAAGTACAAAAATTTAATGTGACGCATCTGTGTGTGTACCTGGAGTATTTTGGTACATATCAATAGGATTGCTACTAATTGAAACTGTTGCCTTGCCTTTGATGTCAGTAATACAAAGCGTCTGTACACGTAATAACTTTGAATTAAATCAGTATTTCGCTATTGAAAGCGTACCAACATGACGCGGACAAATTAATTACGACGACTGGACAGCAATAAGCTTTAGTTAGGAACCCTTTATAAACCCTAGGGTGGTCCGTGTGCATGCCAAAAATGGGTGCATGGATCAAAGAACCGCGGGGCAATATGAGGGTCATATTAATTGAAATCAGAAAACAACGTGTAGAAACAGTAGAAGGTTAACATTATTTATAATTAATTTACACATATAATTTCTTAATGCTATTAAGGATTTGTCTCAATTGTTACTAGAGCCAACTCGATTACAATCCGATACCATACAAAGTACGGTTTTGTAAAAAATAAACCTTTTTCCTTCTCAAGTTCTCACGAAGATTGAGAGTCAAACATCAAAGAGCAAGTACTTTATTAACACGAGAGTTTCCAACAAATAAACTTCCGAAAGTTTGATTTCGCGGTCGCCGTGTCACGCCAATATAAAATAGACATTGACAATAATAAAGAATTCAGTGTCTTCGGAAATCTTCGCAGAAACTAGGAACTAAATAAACTAACAGTTCATGTTGCAATATTGAGAGCATTTACCAAGAGTATGAGTAGAGTAGAGTAAGGTCCAAAGTATTTTGTAACATCGTGGCGTCGTCCGTAGAAATGAAAGGTTTTTAAAAATATCGTCGGACAGGCCAGACAGCTGTCCACGCGAAAGCTTTTAGAATAATCAGTTTTTACTTTAAATCGGCGTCGGCACCTGAAAATACTATTCGTACGTGGAACTCAACGTGACTAGATGTGTGAATATGGTTGCCAATCAGTAAGCATCAAATGTTTTGCATCTTTCCTCTGTGTTTATTTTCGCCTTAACAAAGAATCTCGACGTAAGTGATCTATGACCCTTTACTGCGTAAATATGAATATAAGTTATTCTGATTTTATCATCAGTAACCGTATTATAGAGATGGCTCATGTCATTTATAATTGCATCTGTGAAAATTTTCCAGAAAATGTATTAAATTATCCGTAACTACCCAGTCTCTTAGGACATAATGTTTAACCGATTCAAAAAAACGGTAACACAATCCGGTTGGTTTTCTAAAGCAATTTATGAATTCGTTTAAGATCCCAAAAAGTTTTACTAATTATGTAAAAACCGTTAATTGAACATTATTATATATCTTTGCATCGGGTATGAATCAAGACAAGGTATCTAAGCCTATTGTATTTATTATAAATATACTATTCATCAACAATGTTTCATGTAAATCAGAGATTTTAACAGAAACATGCATCAACTTTGCACTTGAATATAGGTCAACTTCAAAGTTATTGTTACAGTGACTGTCTAATATGTAACACGCAAATCATTGCATTATTCGTATGCATACCAAGAAAACAACATTAGAAGTCGTTTAAGCAAAAAAGGATTTAACGTCTAATAAATAGTGAACAATTTCTAATACCACCGGCAGCACATACGTCGTTAAAAAATTGTCGTTTTGCGTAACCCACATCCTTAAGGTCGAAAATTGTTTGAAGTTATGTACACTATGAATTGGAAATCACAATATCTGAAGGTATTGTGAGAAGTGCAAATAATAGAGCAACACTTACCTCTAGTTCTTCGATGACTTTTTCTAGTTGATCTTCTGTGACGGGCGGTGCGCCTGCCCTTGCGCGCTCTGCGTTCAACAGTTTGAGCCATGCAGTGTCAGCCGCATCCAAGTCATAACTACAAGCGGCCTCGGCTCGCGCCGGCGTTTGACTCAGTATGTGTTTGTCTGAATGGTAGTGATCATCTCGACTGAGGTGAATATATTTGTCCTTAGGCCTGTCAGACATAAAGTTTAATATTACTACAAATTAATGTGATTTGTGTTCACTATATTCGAATCTTCGATTCTAATTCCAATTATAAGGTGAGTTTTGATAATTTAAGGATTAATTATGGTCGTTAGGTTTAAAAACTAAAAATGTGTCCAAAGTTTATAGGTTTGTCATAAAAATTACTTACAATTTGAATTCTTGAAAGTCTGGTGGTTGTGGATTGTCAATGATCTTGACTTTGGGCGCGGGGAGGGAGTCAGGATTAACAGGAACCTGTACTCCTCTCTCCCAATCCTGCTTCCACGTGTCGGTAATAACCCAGTATGAAGACTGTGTAAGTGGCTCATTGTCCGGCAGTTTCATAGCGCTGATAAGGTCCTTTCTGGAATTCATATAATTAAGGTTTTTAACATGTTGTCACGTATTCAGTTGATGATACCATACCCATGACGTATTTACAGACCACAAGATAAAAACTTAAACTAAAATTTAGAAAAAATAAATAATATGAAATAGATAAAACATGGGGATTTTACTATTTTTGTGGTCTCGTATGGTCTGCAAATATTACCTGTAATACATACTAATCTTTTCTGCAATGTGTATTAGACAGTAGATAAAAATCTAGTCTAAACCTTACCTTGGTACTGTCAACAATACCCGTGTCAGTCTAATTCGAATCTTAGCAGTGACAGCTTGGCGCAACTTACGGTGCTTTTACTTGGTATGATAGTCCTTTTACAAAGTTGACCAAACAATAGATGATTGTTTTAATAAATATTGTGTGCCCTTTAATACATGTTCATGAATTTACTATAGTAACCGTTACCATCAGAAGATGTTTTAGGCAGATATCTCCAAAACACAGTTTACACAAAAATGATCTAAAATGTAATACAAATATCAGAAAAGATTACTATGTATTATTATTAAAAGCTGATGAAGATTGATTTTAGACAAGTTAGTAAGTTATTGCACACATGCCCACTGAACTTAGTAGTTAAATAAAACTATATAACTATAGTGAGTTTCTATACAACAGTTAATTCAAAACGCAATACAAAATTTTCGGTTAGTACAACATAAAAGTTTCCAGTTATAAAAAAGATTACGAACTATAATTCTATGGAGTTAGAGTGCCTTGAATGACAAATAAAAAAACTTTATGGAGTTTTTTCCCTTAATTCAACGTAATTGCACTATCGTAACCATCGTAGGACTCATTACTGTTCACATATTCAAGCATCAATTACCCATCGATTGGAAACAATTTACTATGAAGTATGACATAAGGATCAATTTCGCTTGACACATATTGATTTGCACTGTATACTGAGATTTAATACGCCAAGCATTAGTTTAGTTTCAGAAAAGTTGGGCGAATGTGCCTTGCAATAAAAAATAGGATTTAAAATACAAAATAGTTGGTTAAAGATAAAAATTAGAATAAAACATCGTCCATGGCTATAATGTACATGATTGTGCATCAGTGTTGAAGTCTGTGTGGTAATTTCAACTTACTTCTAGAGAATCAGTGATGATTGAAAGTTAACAGTGTATCATGTATATGGTTTTTACGAGATAAAATAATCTTTTAGTGTTATGAAATTACCGTATGTTTCACAACCATTTAACATACTATGTAATTTCTAATTCTCTCCCTTAATTTTTTTTTTTTTTTCAAATTGGCAACAATCATCTCAAAAACTTTAGTACACCGAATAAGTATTTCGACGTTTATAAGTTATAGATAATATTAAGTTTAAAAAAGAACGACAAGGATAGAACAACATCCCATCAACAGCACTGCATGTACCATTGCATATGCATGCATAAAAAAGTGCAGTGTGCTGTAGTCCACCTCTGTGGATTCTTTATAAACTTTTTACATAAATCCTGGCCGAGTATAGACAAAACATTAGAACATAATGCAGTACATGAAAGTAGTGTCAATTTTTACTTAGTCGACAAACTTATTTTTATACAAAACTATAACAACTCCCTAAATGTTGAGCTGTGACTTTATATTTAAAATGCACTTTTAAATCTTACAGATCCAAATTGAGGAAGCTGTCTGGCAACCCAACTCAAGCTTTCCCGGTCGGAGTTCTAATAAGGTGAATATTTTAACATACTCCATACAATATTGGGAGCAAGAAAATAACCTTAACATGTCAAACCCAGCTCAACCAATTAACATACACAATATCTCATGGTGTTATGGACAGTTCAAGTATAAATGAAACGCAATCACAGACGCTTAGCAATTCAAAATAAAGTTCCCCTCCTTCTTAAAATTCATTTTATAACTGCGTATGTTTACACAATGCTTTAACTGTGGAAACAAATAGTTTTGTCTTTTTTTTCAGGACTTAAGATATTTGTACCTGAACGTCTCCGGAGTGAGGAGTTGAGAAGATGGATATCTTTGAAGGATACGACCCCTCTACTTTGTTCGCAGGACTCTATCTATTTATTTGGGTTTGTGGTTGCTTTGGCAATGATAATATGTTTTGGAACATTCTCATGTTCTTTTCGGTTCTGTGCACTCTACTATGCATGTACCGCATTACTAATAATGAGCTATAAAGCAATGGAGTGTATTTTGTAGCTGATGTAGTAAATATTATGACGAAAAATATGTATTTTCTAGTATGTTATAGATTCTTTTTTTTAAATTTGATGTTTTCAAACAGTGAAATAGCAACAAAATAGATCTGTGTACCTGGCTCGTGAGGTAGTTCTAGAAGGTTTTTGGAACAGAAAATCTAAAGAGACTGCACTAAATTCTTGGCTCACTTTTGAGAGAAACAATGTAGTTAATATTACCCATGGCCACATAGACCATCATTGAATACACATAGACCACATAGACCCATTTCATTGAATATCATAGTTATTTCATTATAATGATATTTTTTTCGTGAATATGTGTATGGAAAATTTCTAAATACAAAGAGGTTTTTAAATCTAAGTTTACAGGCTGAATATTTTCTACAGTAAAACTAGTGTAATATAACTTAAAAATTACGACATTATTGATATACTAATAAAATTATAAATAATACACTATCATTATCGTTGAATACTATGTAAAATACATGTTTTTCTTCATAAGTATAATGTGTAGTGTAGTTCGTAGAAAGTAGGTACCCTGCAGTTGCTATAATAAATTTAAAAAGTTAAAAATTTATAATAAGAAATTAACTTGTGAAAACCAATTTCAGGATAGTTGGAATTTTTATAGATTTCTTTTGAACAAGATTAGTTTGTTAGATTGTTTCGTGAGTACATATCTTGTTATTTTGGCTAAGATAAAAGTTAGATGAACTTTTCTTTTCAAATTGGTAAAATTTTTGTGTATAGGGCAGCATCATTAATAGATATTTGACATTTTTCGATAAAGCTTTCGATGATATTATGGCAAAAACAGGGATAACAATTAAAAATGTTTGCTAGATTTTTCATATTTCACATTCGTAATACTTATGACGGATTAGGTGTACACAGATTTCTAGAATGCTGATAAAAAATTCAATATAAACTGAATCCGAAGGGAAGTATTTACTTACAAGCAAAACTAATTTTATTAGCCTTCCATAAATCTGTTTTTGAGTTGAGAAGAATTGTTTCCAGTAAATTATCTAACTTTATGTACTAAAAATAGGCACATCCTCCCAATCCATTGTCTATATCTTACTGTAATTTACGAATAACAATACTTAATATTAATATACAGTTGATAATATTATATCTACAGTCGCAGTGTATTCTTACCAAATAATGAATTTACATAAATACAACAATGATAGATTAAAATTAATAAAACCATCACCATTTCTTATATGTATATCTTTCAATTAGTATTAGGACTGTATACCAACTGTTTTGGCAACAACATTCATTGATGTATGGGCTAATTATATGCTGTCTTGACTTTAAAAATGTAATATTGAATGGCATAGCAAATAATACAAAAAGAAAAAAAAATTAAATTGAGAGGGATTTCATTTTGTCAAATTAATTAAAGTATTATTTCAAGAAAATTGTATTGGATGTTCAAGAGTACATCTAAGCACTGCATTTAAGAAATTCGCTGATTTGTGGAAGAATTGCAATGCAAGTGCGCTTTAGCTATTAATTTTGTATTGGATTGGGAAATATTTTGCTTTTATATCCCTTAATAATAATTATATTCTTGTGTGAATTTGGGGATTGAACCCTGTTTAACTTCAAGTTTAATAAAGTACTATTCTTTGGCATTTGTATAACGTTTTCTGCAATAAAAATTCTAAGCAAGCATATGTATGATATTTTCATTTAAACAATTATTTCAGTGCTAGTGAACCTATACATAGCAGTTTAAAGAATCGCCAGGGCTTCAATACACAGAGGAAATGGCATTGGCAGGTAATAAAATACAATAAATACAAATTAAACGTTAACTTAATAGAGATCCAGTACTTAAGTTAATTACTACAGAATATATTAAATAGATGAAGGAATATTTACCTATGGTTTCTAAACATGAGACATGTATCATTTAGGTATCCAAATAGGTGTATTAATTAATGGCAACAGCACAATAAGTGATATTTGATAATGGATTGATGAATCAAATGGCAGAAACCAGAGGTAAGTATATGTGATGTACACTTAATACTATTTACTTTCTAATAACAATCTCATCAATGTTGTACTGAACTTAAGACTATGTACCGTGTTTTAATAATTGCATCCAATCCAAACAATTCACACAAACCTGAATAGTTCTGCGGGTGCCTCAGAGGCACTCCTGTTATATATTGATGACATCTTGAGGTCACTAACAGGCCGGAGCTGCCAGAGAGCATCCTCGGGCTCCGTCCTGCGGCGCTTGGATACGCCGGCTTCATCACCGCGCATCCCAGTCGCCCGCTTTGTGCCTCTCAACGACATCTCGCTAAATTGTCCACAACCTACATGTTCACGATCCTTCTACTGCTTTACACTTAGAACGCGGCAACAACATTGTGTAGAATGTCACATCATTCACTACATGGCACTTCAGTTTGCGTCCTGTAAACCTGAAACAAAATCACCACTTTAACATACACTAGCAACTGGATAATGCGTTCGCGACTTCTGACAACACTAATATCTTCTTAGGTTAACTAGCAAACGATTGTGGCACCTAAATTGCTCCATTCAACATCAGAATTCAGCAAAGTTTGACAGTTCGAATACAATGAGCACAGTGAATCTGACAACAAAACAATGTGCTACTGGTAGAATTAAGTGCGAGCAAACTATTCTAACATTGGTAAACAGAGTTTCAGTATTGTATTAGAGGACTTTTCGGTATAAAAGCATTTTGACAGACCTGCACAGAACAAAAATGTCAAATTCAGGACTCAACAATGCAAAACGTTACAGGTGATAAAGCATTACGATCGCGTTTAACCTCCACACAATACATGATATGATAAATAAATGTCGAAATATACGTTTTCTTAGTGCATATGTATGAAAATGAATAACAATCCCGTTTGACGTTTCACTTTATTGCACTTGTAAAATGTATGGCGGGCCACTGGTTGGATTGCGACTGTAAATATCGGAGCGTCCAATAGCAGAACCGCGCGCCGACAGAATCACTTGTAGCCATCACTTATGTATAAAATGCACTCACACCACACCGCGCAAGGATCCGATATTTTCATTCTATAATAATTAACCGTAAATATTTATCTCACGAGTATTCTCCATTGTAGGCTACATAACAAAGTTGACAACATAGATAGCAGCACTGTTTTGTTGCCAGATTGACGTGAGTCCTACGCATCATTTTCACCATCGTTTCGCTATCAATGTATATCATATATACAACAAGTCGATTGTATATCAATTTGCAATAATGCACTATGTTTAAATACCTCATAATTCACATACATTTTCTGTAACAGACATTTGGCGCCATTGATCCAAAAACTACTTTGGTCACGTGACTATGTACGAATCACCAACGCAAGCCAAGTAAAATGGCCAAAACGCACATCGAGTTCATCTAATGTCATTGGTTTTGAAAGTAACTTGCCGCATAACATATACATGGAGACAAGATTTTTAATTCCTTAAAGCCGAGAATAAACCAAACACGAACACATAGTTAATAAACATTGGATTTGTCAGCAAGTAGCACAAATTACTAAAATAAATTACAACATGAACATAGAGCCAGAGATATCAATATGAAGTTACAGAAATTAGTCACCAGTTGGCGCTCTCGTCGAAAAAAAGTTGAAAATGTTGCAACATTAAAAAAGTGGTGAAAGTATGGTAGAAAGTTTTACTAGTTATTTGGAAAATAGGTAAATATGAAATAACTAAAATGTGTTTTATGTCCTTGATAATTCGCTAGAAATATATCAATAATTAACCAAATATCAAGAAAACCTACTAGACGATAACCATGTTTTAGTAGAAAATTGTCTATGGTATAAGTAGTAGTGTTGGACCACGCATGATTCGACAATAATTATTCATTTGTATATAAGTTTATGAAATTTATTAAATTTTATTGCGCCTTTTTAATTAAGATAATAATATACCTACTAAACTATTTCTTTTAATCGGACATCTGATGACATAATATTAATATACTAAAAATTCTAGTTTCTTCTTTTTTCCAAAGAGTCAAGTGGTTTTATATGCTATGTACAATTTACATAGTACTTGCTTTAAAGTATTATTTTTAATCAGAGTTCTTAATTTTATATTCCATTTATTCCGGTTCTACTAATACAAAAATGATTATGTTAATCTTATTTTTAGCGTTCTATGAACAACGCTACTACACTATTCTTGATATTTCGTTACACATATTAACGCGATAAAGTTTTATAATCATAAAATGTTTAATTAATTCATCGATAAGCTGAAGAGATGGCATTCTCTATAACTCTGCTTGACAACACATTACAGGCAGATAATAAATTTACAACCACTCTATGGTCGTTGCGCCACAAGCAGCGCGGCTTTTACAATAATAGTGGGTATGCTTTCCCAATGAAATGAATACGTTAGTATATTCTTGCGTCATAGACTGCAAGTAATCGTTTTCAGCGCTCTACAACAAATTTACTATTTAAAAATTAACTAAGTAGATTAATTATTTAAAAAGGTTCACCTTGACATGGCATTTCAAGTTGTACCTACTTTATTCACTGTAACTGTAACTATTTAGGTAGGCCACTGATATAAATGATGTAGAATATCAACAGCGAAATAAAGTTAAAATATGTATTAAAACTATAGGACTTTTTTGATGGGAGTCAAATACAATTACTGTAGTAAACTTTGTTACAAAGATTCCTTTGGCTAAATCGTCTACTATATGATGATACCTGTCAATGTTTATCTATTGTGATTGGATTTGTAGCAGTGAATAAATCCCTAAATATTCAGTATAATAATATTATAATACCAGAATACCACACCACTCACACAAGTTCTTTACGTTAGACTAAAATAGGGCATCATCAAAAAAAATATAAGCATTTAACTTTTTATTATATTATAACATACTGGGGTAAAAAGCCAGAAAAAAAACCATGGAATTATATAACAGTCTTTGATTACAGTTTATTGGTTTTTTGTTATTCAACTAGTAGGTGGGAAAAGGAGTTTGCTTGCAGATGCTGTTGAACTAGGTTACTGGTCTTGGCTTGTTAACAAATCAACGCTGCAATCAATCAATCTACAACCATTTTGTTATTTCAATTGCACCAGCGATGCAATGGCCGAGATATTTTTACTTCTCATTTTTAAGTAAACTTATTTATTTAGAGTATCAAACCTATTTAGTACTTTTTTTGACAGATGTCAAATTACAGCGAGCTTAATTTTTTTTGCAGCTCTGCACTATGCGTACGTCACTATTTTTATTCGCAGGCCCTATACTTACTATACTCTTTGTTCGCAGGTATTGTTTTGTATAATCAAGGTTGCTTCAAAACATTGTAAACGCACCCACAACACAGTATACTCTATATACAATTGTATGTAGAAAACAACATAAAGTGTATGTGTTATTAATTACACATACACTTTGTTTTGTTTGTATCGTAATATAAAAAAAACCACAAGTAATTGATACTAATAAATTTTATTCAAGTTATTACAGTGTTTCCTTTTGTTAACATTCATATATTAAAATTTAAACAATTAACTCTAAAATACAAAACTAGATCTAAATTAAATAAAAAAAATACGTTATCTCATTTACAGCTTGCTAATAAAAAATGTACAAATATTGAACTTATAGGACGAATGCCTATTAGGCTGTCATTCACTACTGTGTGACGGGTCCAACTTTACATAGGTATTATGTTGTTATTTTTTATAGAATCTTTGCGCTAGAAATACATTTTTTATTAGAAAGTGTATCTTAGCTTTCATAAAGCCACAGATCCAACGAAACATAACTTACATACTGTCCGTTACAATTATTACAAACATCATCCTTTACACAATAATTAGGTAAATCTTACAAATACCCTTTCCGGTTACAATATTAATTTATAAAATGAAAAATAAAGAGCTAAATTAACTTCGTTGTACATTAAACTAAAATAATTTCCTCATGATTAGGACAACTATCTATAAAAAATAAATATAATAAAAAATCTTACAGAAAATAATACTAAATCTCAATTAGGTTATTGTTCAACGGTTCATGTGTCGCGATATCGCGATGGCAATCACCGTAGGCTGGCGCTGGTGATTATTATGACGTGCAATTACTTTCATTTTTAAAATTGTGCACGACAAACCAGTTCGAGAGTCTGACTCACACGCCGACACACTTTCATGTTAATTGAATAAAACGCCATCTATCGTCATTTATAGTAAACGAGATGCAATAATCAATCAACATTGTAACATGGAGGAAATCTTTGTTTATACTTCTGTCTATTACAAAATTACATTAAATAAATCTCTATATTCTAACTCGGAAAAATGGAATTTGTTTGTGACACCAAGAGTATGGTACTTCGTAGCAAATGGCACTGTTAGTTACACTTTGTTTTACGTAAATCAAGTATCTATACACATACAAGAGAGTACGTTCAAGAATGTTGTATACTTTAACAAAGTTATGCATAAATTTAATAGAGAAAATATTATAATAGAGATAAGAAAAGACAAGAAATATTGTAGATATAAATCAAACGTTTGAAATATGAAAGAATACAAAGTGATTCTATAGGCAATTCTGTCATGCAAGTTATGCACTAGAGTGATAAATTGGCGAGTTAACTGGCTTGATAGAAAGATTATCCCCCGCCAGACCGCTATTACTCTGATTATATAATCAACTTCAGGGAACGACACGTGTATACCTATTGTACATATAGAGATATCTCGCTTTACGCATTAGGTGCTATTTATTTATACGTTACACAAATTTTGTTACAAGCGGCGAGTTTACAGGATATGACACAACTTCCTTAACTTACAAAGTTCATGTTTCGTCTCCATCACTTGAAAAAGAACAAAATAAAACTTCAACGTCTTAAAGATACAGTGAAAACAGGAATATAGAGATAAAAGATATGAAAAATTATGCCGTTTAGAGTTCACGAAACAAGTACTATACGTAGGCGCGCTGTAGATAATTTCTTAGCAAAATGTCCATTTTCCTATGAAATTATCTACAAAATGTGTTTATAAAGATATCTGTTTACATAGCACACATGTACACTGGCCATATATTACATTAGTAACCAGTTCAATCAAATAATAAACAAGAAAGTGTAGGTACTAAAGAACTATTTTACAACTTGTTAATAAACTAATAGAGATGTGTTCTTACAACTACATAACTGCTATTCTTTGTTATTTTTGGTATACAATCTTATAAACTAATTTTAATATAAATACGTTATCCCATGTGATATAATATTATAGGCTTCTGTGAGTAACAACAATAAGTTTATAGTTGCTCTAATATATTTGAGATAGTAACAAATACACTATATTTTATTTTTCTTTTGGAATGCTAAGATCACAATTAAAAACAGCCAATTCATTTAACTATTGAATCGTCCCATTATTTATTCCATATATTATTTGAGAGTGCTTTTTGTGCATGTTGTGATGTGATTGCTATCACATAGTGTCGTATAAGATGTTGAGATAGTACCGCGGGTTTAGTCACACAGTATCGCAGGAAGTCGCTGAAATTACTCACAAAGAGCGAATGTACGACTGCATTGTAGTGCAGTAGTGACCCACAATAAACCGTTACAATGGAGGCCAGTATCGTACATGGATAATTTATCAATTTACGGATAGGCAGGATGAACCACAGCGGCATTATTGCAAGACTCGTTCCACAGATTACAATTCACTTGTATTATAAAGTCTACAAGTCAATTTCACAAATAAAAGCAACAATAATAATGTTAAACGTGTAGTGGGACATAACGATATGATCTTAGGATCAACAGATATGCCAAATCAATATACCTTGATAAAGTACAGAAATAACAATTACAACGTCCATGGGATACTATTATTAATTTACCCCATAAGATCCCCATACATAATTATATATTATATGTGTTAATATTCATAACTATACTCATATCATAGGTAGGTATATAATATATGTACTTAATATGAATTTATTGTACTTCGTGATAAAAGTACAAAGGAGAAACATTATCAAAATTTTGTAAAAACCTTTACAATATTGTAGAATGTTTGACGCGCTCTCACGGACTATAGATTTTATAACGTCACCGTCCTTAGTATAAAAATATTTGATATCGATTACCTTTCTTGAGGTTTTATGTATATGATTATACAAAAAAAAATATTAATAAGATTAGGTCCAAAGCGTTGAAATGTTGCGGCATGGTACAAATTTAAAAATAGTTTAAAAACTACAGTCCGTAAGAATTCCGCTCTACGTTTATATAATAGATGTATTTACATCAGATCCATTAAATTCTATCAGTCCTTTACAATGCGTGCAGTTTAGTAACAAAATCCAGGCTTGAATATAAGGTTCTGTTACTACAACCAGGTACAATAACATACTATATTATGATATTTTAATGGAATATTAATATAAAAGGCATAGTTGTATAAATGCAGTGGTTATGTGTTGGAAGCTAATAAACAATGTAATAAAACAGGTATAATTGTCCGAATGCAATTCGCCACTGCTGAATGAATTCAGATCACGGTACAAGACAACAGTATTAATTTAAAGTGTGAAATTCATAAAACATCTGTTCTAAAGCCAAACACTTAGGAATGTTTTCATATCTTTTTGATAATCGTATCTAATTATAATATTTTTTTAATACATCTTTACACCATATATGCATCGCTCTACTAAGCGAATTAATAATACCGAATTGATGATTATTATTATATAATAAAACATTATTTAAACACATTACGATTTGGAAGAAGCAGCGATTAACACTTGTGCGAATTATAAGCAATGATTCTTATTCGAAAGCGCCTACAAGCTAAGAAGCATTCCATAATAAAGAAAAACAGTTGTTGCTTGTATAGTAATTAACAAATCGATATACAAATACGCAATACAGTATAACTTTATTGATTTTTTCAGTGCAAATAGTTCTTGTAGGAAATGAAGATACAAAGTAAAATTACTAGGAGATTTTCCGACAAGTTTTATAGGGTAAACTTGAAAAAAAAGGTCTTGAAATTTTGACAAGGTTTGATGATGAAAGAAACTATGATAACAATTTTATCCGAGTGTAAAGTTAGTACAACACTGAATTTTGTATTGGACACAATGAGAAATAATAAGAATTAACTGTTTCATTTCAATTAAGAACTTCTAGATGTATTGAACAAGAAAATTCCTTGTATTTCGCAATCAGATTAATGATATAGTTATGGTATTTTTGTAAATAAGAGGGTCAATAAAGTTCCATAGTCTCTATCTACCCCAATGGGAGACAGGCGTGAAGTTATGTATGTATGTAAAGTCAATATGCTGCAAATTTGGGTTCAAATGAAATTATATTTAAAAAAGTAGTTTAAATGAATTGTGTACTTGTAAATAATATATAATATTTCTAAAGACTTACATTTTGAGTATATGTATATAAATTATGCTGTTATTTATTACCGAGTGATCTTTTAAAGCATTATATAAGCATGGACGTGTGCTATGGCGGATGGAATTGACTTTGGAACGGATATTATTTATTATAGTAATATTACTAGTGGAGTATTGATATATAAAAGAGCTATAACACAACCTTTGTTAATAAGGCTGATCTATGTAAGTAAACAATTTGACAAAATGTGATTGGTCGGGTTAGAGAACAAACCAATGACATCTATGGTACATACTATTGTTTAGTCGCTGAAGCTTTTAGTAAAGCTTTATCAAAGTACTATTATATTGTTAATGAAGTGAATAAATTGTAATATTCCCTGCATATCGTGTTTCGGATTGCAAGCTATGAGCAAGTTTATAATCTAAATAAATAAGCATTAAATAGCAATGAATACATAATTAGAAACATGTATAAGTGGTACAAGCGCAAGCAACACAAGAGATTCAAATTTAGACTCTAGCCATAAATCCGTAATTTCATAAATGAATGTAAACATTCTCTATACTTCCAACGCCGTACTAACAAAAATTTGGCATATCTATATCAACATTTGACAGACATTCACTTTAACTACATTAGAATAGAGTTGAATTTACCTCGGGGATTAGAGGCAATAAAATATAATAGTGTTTAGATTATGAAGATTGACTCCTGGTGTGACAAGAGGAAGTCGGTGAAGTTATTGATGGGCGCGATGGACAAGAGTGACATCTGTCCGTTTGGTGGCCAGGCGAGGTTTGGGCCGAACACCACGGCGAGGTTGCTCGTCGTCATCTTGTTCAGGCAGCTCCTGTCTTGCACCTGGAAATAGAGACCACCAAGTTAATAGACTTAATTAAAATGTACAGGGCGTGTCATAAATATGAAATAATATAATTATGTCATTGAAGCATACCTTAATTTGGCCTAGTCACAAGTTAAAAATACTAATTAAAAATAATATATTTTGCTAAAAACATTAATCATTTATAAAATTTTATTATAATCCTAATCTACATATACACAGCCATATACGGCTACACTCACAGGCGTAGCTTACTAGCGGGATCTACTGACCCCGCTCCCTACATGCCTAATGGCGGGAATAATATTATCAGTGGAAAGTTTTCGTTTTAATCTATAGAGTATAATAATTATAAAACCGTTCCATAAATCATTACCGGTGCAATGGATTTGTAACATAGATACTTTTGCATACTGAACGTATTGTTTCATATTAATGACACGTTGTATAAAGTAGTATTTGAGTCCTATACATCCATCTGCTTTCCTTAGAGAGGATACGCAGCAGTATTTTTACTGTTATCTGCGTATCTGCATTATTGTGTAAGTGCTTTTAACATAGCATCACGCCGTTTATCCCCGAAGGGGTAGGCAGAGGTGCACACAGAAGTAACACCCACTTTTCACTATTTTGTTATGCGCCCCATGTAATAAGGGGTGAGCCTATTGCCATATACCGGGCACATTTCCAGACTCCGTGGTACTACTGAGATTTTTTTAAAAACCCAGTAATACTTTGCCCGCCCCGAGAATCGAACCCGAGACCCCTTGCCCGGTAGTCGCACTTTCGACCACTCGGCCAACGAGGCTATGATGCTTTTACTAAGACTCTATTTCGTGTCTTTGGGTTAAGAAGAACATAATTAATATTGACGTTTTACATATTCTCAGTAATCAACACGAAGTCTAGTGTCGAATGAGGTGAAAACCCAGGCCATAGGAGAAAATCCTAGTAAAAAACTTGTACAAATTGTAATGCTAACCTTCCATAAGAACTGGAACACGTATTTTAACAACATGTAGTTATCCAAGGGCAGGCGCTCCAGAATCAAGATCTTCACCTTGCGCGGCTTGTCACGCGGCGACCAGTCTGAAACATATTACAAAAATATATTAAAACACAAATATATAAAATAATAGGTAATGTCAAGTACAAGATACGCGCGCAAAAAATAACCATTTTAGTACTTGAGTAAAAAGTTGTTTAAAAGTAAAATTGCTATTCAATAATTCGCATTTGCAATTCTTTAGGAATGCTTTTGCTATGCCAGTTTAACATTAAACAGTATGCTAAAGGTATTAAAGATCAAAATAAATATTTCAACTCACTTTGGAAGTCCATTATCTCATCATATAAATCGAAAGTCAGGAGGGGTTCCTCAAGATCCCGGAAGAATGTCTTCAGCAGAACGGCCGCGTTGTGAGGATCATTGCGGAAGCGGAGAGGCTCGCCCCTGTTGCAGGCACTCTGTAGCTCCTTGATTACTGACATGTTCGCTGAACGACGGAAAATTCCTTCCGTCTCAAGAGCTAAAAATATACACGAAACATATAACTGCTATAGAATCAATATTGAAGTCACAGTCATCAATCGTGTTGTTTCCTCACCGTCAGGCTGCGACAAGAACTCGACGCACTGCCGCACCACTGGCGGGATAGCTCCAACCATGTTAGCATTGTTCTCCTTTATGAATGACAGCGACACACCAAACTGTTGCGTCGGAGGCGGGGAGAGGCTGCTCGTGGGTTTCTTATTGAACTTCGCAATGGGCGACGTCTCCACCGGTACTGTGTTCTGACGAGCCGATTCGGCAGCCCTCGGGTTCTTCGACAGCAGCAGCTTGTCATACCTACAACAAGTACACCGTGATTAAGGCATAAAACCACTGCCAAGATAATGTAAAGTAAAGAGAAAAGGATGGCATGCTTTGATTGCTTGGGCTACACACCATCGCTTTTCAGTGTTATTAGATGAAGATGACGCAATTCGTGTTCCACTGAGCTTTAAATATTTTATAGCTTCGTATCCTACGGCTAAGCAAGCCGCTTCACGCTGCCGGATATCTTGTTCTTCCTCTATGATAATGGGTAGAGGTGACAGCTTGTCACGGCTTCGCTTTATGCGCAATAACTCCTCAGGGATGATGGGAAACGTCACTGCTTCATCCAACTTGGTGCCAAACAAATCATCAGGATCAAAGGGAGCCTTGTCTTGTCTAGTGCCCAACAACTGCTCACTGTCGTAGGGCAAGTCATCTCCTTGACTACGTTTCAAGCACACCAAGTTCTCAACTTCAGGGATGACAGCAGTTAAATCTCGTTTCGAGCCAGATAACTCTTCAAAGGCCAATGGGGCAAGGCGTCGTGTCATCGTCAACTCATCAACCTTATTCGTCATTGTGGCTGAATCTTCTTTAGCGCCGAACCAATCTTCAAGACTGTATTTGCCTGTTGTTTTTACTCTTCTTAATTTCCCTGCTGTATGTACGAACGGAAAGTTCGATGGTTCCGCTTTGAGAATGCGGACAGCAGAAGACTTCTGTTTTGGTTTCTTTATTGTCTTAATATTCTCGGAAGATATGCGATATCTTGTTGGGCCCGGCAGCTCTTTCACAATGAAGATTTGAGGAAGTTGATCCTGTTTTTTTGATATTTTTTCAACGCTGTTTTTGGACCCTTCCGGATAATCACCTCGACTTGGTATCTCGTTAAGTTTACTCGGTTTCGGTCTCTGATCCATGATTATAATCTCTGGCAACAAGGCTTCTTGATCCCGTTTCGTCTCAGAATTTTCGGACTTTTTAGAAGTAAATGTGCGTTTAATATTCATTAATACGTCGATTGCTCTTTTAAATGCCATTATAGAACAGTATTAATGATTGTTAGATTCGATAATTGATTAATGAATGACTTATTTTTAGTGATTATGCGAATGTTTCCTCTTCTTCAGCTGTAAGAAACAGTTACCAAGTACTGTTTTGAACTGATAGAAAATAGGAAGAATCAAAGCCACGCAACCAAGTCTCATACGTGTGAATATGACCTTGGTGTACCATGCCGGTCTAGCTATGTATTAATGAAGGTAATGAAGAGCTTCGATTGAAAGTGAACGTGGAGGTGAAGCTAAACATAGAGTGATTTTCTACTAAATTACATTTTTATTTATTGGCGAAATGTGAGCTCAATTTTTATTTAATAATTCCATTTTTACTGTACTTCAATTTACAGTAGTGAAATAACACGTACTAAACAAAGTACAGAGCTTATCGGACTCTGGAACAATACAAAATAAACAAACAAATCTCGGAGCACGCTGCGTTTGTTTGTAAACAGATTACACTGACCACCCTGTGGTCCAGGGAGAAGAGGTCCGCGGGCCGCGGCCTTGCAATTGTGCGCGTCGCGGGGCTTTACTTGATTGACAGGTCAAATAGTTGTGAATAAATGTTGCACCAGTTGTAGGCTGTCGACAGGCGATATTCAGGTCAATAACGCAGCTGAATAATTTAGTCCCTCTGACAGGGTTACGTACAACTGCTTTGACTTCAACTTGCAATCATGTAATCGATCTCCTAGACGTACTTTTGATATAAATATCTAAAAATACTAACTGAATGAAATACTTACTCACGCGGCAAATTGATAAGGGAAAGATTTATCTCGACTCTAAACTACATGTACATAGTGCGCAAGGTGCATACACCTTTGCACTGAAAATAGGTTAGTCCGTAATTGTGGGAACAGAAATTATTAAAGGGAAAATAATAATACGCTTATACGTAGCATCGTTCATCGAAATAAAATAGAGCTAAAAGTGGTATTTAGTTTTACATTTTTATTTTTATTAGGTCGTTGTAGCCGGTATAATAATTGAAAAGGTTGCAGTTAGTAATAAGTCAATAACAAGTCAAACCAAGTAATTATTTATTTAGCTGCTAATATCAGGATATGGATTGTAGACAATAGTATTTAAATTCAAAATTTCTTGCAACAATGTAATAAAACATTATTATTGAAGTTAGGAAAATTCGTGAAAAATACTAACATGAGGACAATTTCTTTGTTACGGAAAGCGAGGTAAGGTCAGGATAGTGGCCTACAACTGGCGGGCAGGAGGTCTGTAGGTCAGCGGCCGACAGCCGTGAAGTTTCAGTGGAAGTATCTAACAAGTTGAGCTGTTCACCGCAACTTATAGGATACTTATTAAAACTTCCATAACATTGAACTTGAACAAATACTTGGCTGTATCAACGTTAATACTTTTATGACACCGTTTTATCTTATGGGCTAATTAGAAATGGTATTCTAAGCTTAGTGCTTACAGAACGTTGTCATTATATGCATTGTTAATTTACCAAATTTTTATTGTATTTTAATCAATGTGTGTTCGAAATAAAACGTTAATAATTATAACGAGAATTTTATATATTAGATATTAATGAGGGATTTGTGGGTTCGAAAATTTTAATTTTATTTACATTACTTATTTATTAAAAATTACGACTAAACTACATTGCGAAATTTTATTAAAAGCTATATGACCCAGCAAACTTAGGACTGCCTAATTTTTTTCTCACCTTTTAACCTTCCCTGGACTTTTCAAGACCAAAATTAGCCAAATCGGTTCAGCTATTCTCTAGTTTTATCGAGCCTAACGAACGGAAATTAAATTTTATTTATATAGATAAACGTTTACATTAAAATTTAGATCTATGTATTTTTATAAACAGAGCATAAAATCTGCGTTGCTGTAGAAAATATCACTAAATATAGATAGCAAATGCTAATGATTAATTTGTATTGAGCAATCAAGTGACTTTGACAATATTGATGCGGCTCTAAGACCTTAACATGCTTAAATTGTTGTGACACACTTTTATTTTAAGTAAAAGAAAAGCTCCTTGTTCCCTTGCAATAAGGTACGTTTTCAAACCACACATATTCAATCCAAAGAAAATCAGTTTCCAATACAGCCGCACTCTGGCGGCTAACTATATTTAAACTAGATTCGGAATTATCAAAAATCCGCATAGTTTAATTAATTTAAGAATAATAGAAAAGTAGAAATAATTTAAAGAATACGTACCTGACACCCAGTTAATTATGCAGAAGCAACAATAACACTATTTGCGAAAAAAAAATTTACTAGAAATCACTACGAAAAGAAAATTAAAAAACATGACTTTACGACAAAAGCACGGATTACAAAAATTATTATTAAAAAAAAATACACAAAGCTCACAGACTATAAACACAAAAATAAAAAAAAAAACTATTTCAAATTTTTAACTCTTAACCTACCCGCAGCAGGACAAAAAAGCTTTCATTTTTTCAACTTTAAAAGAACTTTTATACGAGAAAAACTTTTTCGCGGCACGGAACCTCGCGCTTCGGGGTTAGTCCTGTAAATGATACTAAGGGACCGTAACTATCGGAAGTGGTTGACGGTTGTGACTGGTCTGTCAAGTTAGTCAAGACCGAGGAGGAAAGTGCAATTGTTTAGAGGCGGGCGGCCGCGCGCACCCCGTGCAACGGCTGTAGTTACACAGCGCTCCGTTCGCGTTACGATCTTAACATTGACTAGCTTCCTACCTACATCTATAAGGGTTGTTTAGCACTCACGATTTATTTTATTTATCATGCTCCGCTATATTTTTATTATAGAATGCGTTGTTTCATGCTATTATGTTGAAGATTGAGAGATTAAAACACAATATAATGAGCTTTTAACTTCTAAAAGGGGTGGGTAGAGCTTTACTGCGTTTGTTATCTAGCTTTTACCCGCGGCTTTGCCCGCGTATTCCTGTTTTATCCCATGTCAATTTAAGGGGGTTAAAAATCTATCTATCAACTATCACCTAAGACAGCCATATATTTTGTACTAGCAGCCCGTCCCGACTTCGCACGGGGTAGACAATTATTTATTTTTGAAAATTTGGATTGTTGTAGTGACATAATTACAATAGTTGGACATATGCTACCGCGGAGTTTTTTGTAGACATTATGATGTTCTTCAATATTGTTGTACATTATTTTGTTCTATCGCTAATAGTTTCGGCAGCGGATTTGACGAAAGACTTTTTAAGACTTATTTTTCTACACCTTCGGTTGCATTGTTCAAATTTTACCAAGGATCCCTAATTTTTTTCAAATTGAAATGTAGCCTATGTCAAATTGGAAGAATGTAGCATTCTATTGGTGAAATAATCTTTTAAATCGGCCCAGTACTTTTTGAGCCTATTCATTACAAACATACAAAAATAGGTACAAATCTTTCCTCTTTATAATATTAGGATAGAAGTATAGATAAATCCGTTCAATAGTGTCAGCGCGATTGTCGGAGACATACAAAGAAACTTTCACAGTTATAATATTAATGTGATGATTTAAGTCAGTCACGGAAATGATTTTGAAACAACAGGACACATTGTACTCTTTGAAGGGAGGCAAGGGTGGGTGAACATATTAAAAGTAACACTCAATTTTTTTCAGGAGAGTTACAATAATTGGTGACCCCTATTACAATGAGGAGGTTACGCCAAAAGAGACTTGGGTCACCATGTACGCAGGTTAAAAAGCCCGCTTCTCAAGAATGGATTTGAAACCTAGCAAGTACTAAGGAAAATTTTTCAACTTGCGTGTACTACTTCAAAAGTTTTTCAAGGCAACCTTGACAATGGAAACCAATTGCCAAGAAACCTGAACGAAAGTCCAAATACCAAGTTCGATATTGTCAACGAGTTAGTGCGGCGGTGATCGATGCTAGACCTAAGACCTTCTCCGTGTGAAGAGACGCATCTGTCCAGCAAAGGGACAGTTTACAAGACCGAGTTAATATTTCTTTACAAGCGAAATATAAACCAATCGTCGACCCATACCTAATAAAATAGAATTTTAAATAAAAATCGAGCTTTATACTGATTGCGAGAAATATTGTAAAGAACATATGTACTTACACTCCGCACTACGTGTTTATTACATTCGTAGTAGGAACAGTACGCAACTAATACGCTTTCGTCGGTAACGGTGTATAATAACAAAAGAGGATTGCGATCTTTTGTCCTTTACTTACATCTCGTATGGTGGTTTTACAAATGCATACAAAACGAATACAAAATGAGGTCTCGGTTAGAAAAAGGATTTAAAATAAGACAGGTGAGTATTTGACATACATGCAGAATATGCACATGCCAGTGCTAGTGGCGGGAAGGAAACGAAGCAATCTCAATATCATTCCGAACATCTCAAGTTCACGGGGAACACGACAATTAAATTAATGCGTCTAAGATTGTCTCCGCAGGTCTCATGGCACGTCCACTTTAACAGATTGCCCATGCGCCCTCTACACATGAATACGACACGATTACATGCGTACCAACTCGCTAGGTAAGAATGTGTAAACAGGTTGTACTCACTCAAGGACGGCGTCGGGTATGCAGAGTTTGTCCAGGTTCAAGTACTGCTGCAGCTCATGCAAATAGTTGACGTACATCATCTTCCTGCCAAACTTAACGCTGATGGCAGGCTTCAGCATCTGCCATACTATGCGTATAAAATTCGTAGGGTGCACCAAGTACAGAGCTTTTAGATTTTTCTTGTATTTCCTGTCAAAAGCTTTGTACGCTCTCCAAAGCCAGGATAGTGGCGGTTTGTTTTTGCTTGTCAGTCCACAATGGAAGTATACCACACTATAGTCTTGTTCCACGTATTTGTCCAGGGTGAACATGAGGTATCTGCAATGATAGAAGTGTTACTATGTGGTCAAAGAGATGCGGTGGTACGAAACTTGCATCGTAGCGTATTGAGTGTAATCTTAATACTTAAGGTACCTTAGTAACTTATCATGTAGTAGCTCCTTGTTGGGCGGTAGTCTGCATGCTGACACGACTATGATGCGGCGTCCGACCTCATCGTCCCCGACCACCTCGACAAGTCCGGTCCTGTTGAGTTCCGCGAACGAGTCTTCGAGGTCGAGCGAAGAGATCTAAATGCAAGTATAAATTCACCCTTATCACAATTACACAGCAAAATTAATTGTTAGTTATTATTTATTCATAAAGTGCAGACAGGTATAGCATATTAATCGATCAAGAACAGGTGGTAATTTGCTATCCTTCGCAGGCATTCAATGTCAATGTTGATTTTATTGCGTAGTTGATTTACATTTCATCATTGATTTTTAAAGTAAGAATTTTCTTTTCAAACTTCTGCTAACCATCTTTTGCAATAAAACTTCGTGAACGTACTTTTCAGCAGATCTAGGACTTCATAAGAAAATTGAAAATGTAAAGGCAGCGTAGCCGCCACCGTAGGCAAACGAACGCTACGTCCGCTGCAACTGCTACGAAACTCGTAGCAGTTGCTACGCCGAATTCGGCAGCATCGCGACATCGTTCGTCGCGGCGGCGGAAACCTAGTGTAAATAACTTACAAACTTATCGTCTTCCTGTTCAACTTTCCGAGTAGTAATGCAAAAGTTTGGTATAGTTTAGAAAATAGGATTTTTAATGAAAAAAAATAGGTATGATGTAAATACATAGTACATATAAGGGTGTAATTACTATTTAATATTTTTATAACCCTACTTTTTCTGAATTTGCAATTTTCTGACAGTATACTATTAGAAACGTATGGAGTCTCAAATTTAATTTTTGATAATAGATTGGGTCCCTATCACTATTACGATGAAACTAATGACTACCGAAAAGAAGATGACAGTAAACACCTTTGTTAAAACCTTCAACAAATCCAGGTATTTGTGGACGTACGTATTTGTAGTAATACAACCCTGAATGAATAAATACGCATAACTACAAAACTCGTGCCTTTGTTCCATGGAGAAGGTATACTAGGGTTCTGACATACTTCTTTAGCTTCCATCACATTCATGCATATCGTCATATAAGCACACTTGGTTTACAATGCTTCCCCGCATTCGGCATTATTCTGGAATCTCTCGAAGGAAGTCAGTGTATCTTCTCCTAGAGCGACCTATACCTACTGGAGTTACTAAACTCGTCACTTTTACAAAGACTTACATAAACGTAGTTTAGTTTATCCATAATATGTGGTTTAACACAACCAGGATTGAAGAAAATAAAGAAATGGGTTGGATATTACACGAGACCTGGTCAAAAAGCGATTACAAATATTATGAATCATTTTAATGACGAAGAATATGAAGAACAAAAAGGGTCAAAACAAATATGCAACCTCAAAGCAAATGAAATATAAAGAAACCAGTCGAGAAACACTTGACATTTACGCGGCTACAGAATATTTTCTAGCACATCACTATAACATTAACGATTCTTCTCGTTTCTTACCAGAACACAAAAACAGCGATATCATTAAAACTGAGAAGCATAAACAAAATCAAAACGAAGGCCGACCCGCGATATATCCGTATCACATTTAATTTAGTATTGAACGTTCATATACTCTGGATAACAAGATCACACTGCAGCTTAACTTGCTTCAGACCCGAACGAATTCCCTATAGATACTTATGACATTGAATTATAAACGTTATTTTCATCGAGTTAAAATGCATGGATGACGATACGAACGCTTCGGTCGCTAAGGGATTGTATGTGTATGCCTGGTCTGGTTCGGCATTGTATTGATAACAAAGTTTGTTGCTGAATGATATTACAATAATCTGTGTACGTGTTAATTGTAAGGACACTTTCATATTAAATTAATAGTTGCGTAATACATCTGTGGCGTAGGTGTTTACACCTTCGGGGTAAGAAGTGTTGCCCACAACGGGCAACACTGCGTTACACGTGGAATGCTGGAGTGCGACCAATAATTCTGACCGAGTGGTCGCAGGTGCGACTGCCGGGCAAGGGGTCTCGGGTTCGATTCCCAGGCCGGGCAAAGTATTACTGGGGTTTTTTTTTTAATTCTCAGTAGTAGCAAGAAGTCTGGAATTGTGCCCGGTATTTGGCAATAGGCTCACCCTATATTATACATGGGACTCATAAAGTGGGTGTTACATTGTACAGTGGCATTAAGTGCCGTAATGTGCACCTCTGCCTGCCCCTTTGAGGATAAAAGGCATGATGAAGTTATGTTAAGATCTAGAATTTAATTGTATTTTAGCTAGGATAGCTCTCCGCAAGTGAGAGAGAGATGCAAACAATTATAGATTACATAATTACTTGTATAAAGATCTAGTGTCACATACCTCTGTATAAACTTCTGGTGCCCTCGCGAGTTCTTCTTCAAAGTTCTCTTCAATCGTGCCGTCGCTTGCAGAACGTTCCATAAGAACGTCTGGTATGTCCAACAACTCCGGAGGTAGAGGCGCTGTAGACAATACCTCAGTTTAGCAAAATAAAGAAATACAGATAAGTTGGTCTTAGAGATGTGCTAATTAACCACAGCCATAAAGTGATCATTACATTGTAAGCTTTCATTCTTGTTTTAATTATAGTAATACACAATAATATATTCCTTTGTAGTATTTCATTACAAATAATCCGGAATTACGCAAAGCGAGAAATAGCAAAGACAAAATAAAAATGGATGCCACATGGAGAATAATATTTTCCAACTTCGTAAATGTATTACTAATGCTCAGGTAATTGACTCGCAGACCGGCAGAAGAACTAGATTGTGGGTTACTAAGTCAGCTCGTACTAAGGTACTTAAAAAGATTAATCTAGATTGTCACTGTTTGCCCTAACAACATTAAAATACCTCAAGGATATTAAATTAGTAAAGTGAACTCCGTAGTATATGTAGCGTATTTCATTAAACGATTACTCTCATTATGATAGTCGACTTTTGTAAAACCACGTTTCAGAGATATTACCATCGTGCGAGATGGGGTAAAGAGTAAGTTAGCCGTTTATCGATAGTGTTATTCAATTCGAAGTAAATTTATTCTATTTGAATTTACCGTAAAAACTTTACATCGGTCGTCGTCGGTTGCGCGTTTAGTTGAACTCAGTTCTTAAAAACTGCCCAATCTCCAAGCGGTCACCGGTGACAGCTCTCCACTTACTTCATTATAAACCTTATTTCCAACGCTTGGAGGCTATATAAACAAATGTTGGTGGAATTTTCATAATCGGGGATTAAGAAGTTAAAGTGTTACATATCCAAACTGACCGACGGATTCGATTTTCATTTTGGATACTTAATGTATCCGATATGAAATTATAATTATTCACCACTTATTAAATAAAAACATATTCTTATTTTATTTGTTCTTTTCGATCAAGATTACCACGAGGACGGTAATTAGGAAAAACTAACCACTACGACTTTGTTAGTAAATGATATACAAACAGCAATTTGATTGGAAATTGATACTGTAGGTGGCCATGCGATACGAATAATTTGGTAGCCATTGAGTTCACAATGTAACGAAGTATCAATTTCAAAATGATAACAGTAATGATATGTCCAGTAGTGTTATCAATGAAAATTCCCCTACTCTGTGACTATGCTGATAACGGGGAACGAAATAAAAATGTAAAAGCTTTGCACATTATTCTTTACGTTACTCAACTTCTTCTCTGCTGCTTCTCATGCTTATTCTACGCGGCCTATAAGATTTAGGGATCTTTACTATTTGGTTTCATTTATAATTCTGTGATGGGCAAAGGATGGGCCGCAGGTCATACCCGGGTCGCTTTTTTAAAGATTATGCGCAGGACACTGATAGTAAGATATCTAGTCCTAGCCGACGCGATTTAAGCAACGTGGGCGTACTGAACACGTCGCAAGTTTAAGTAAAAAATAATGGGGAGAGATCTAAAACATCCACGTAAATTGCGTGATTAAGTGTGGGAGACCATGCTTCGGCACAATGAGCCGGCTCGACCGGAGTGATACCATGGCTTCTGATGATGAAACAATGCTTGCGTTATGTTTCGTCGTGTGAGTGAGGTTACCGGAGGCCCAATTACCCCCCACTTCTTCAACCTTCCCAATACTCAGGTATCCCCAAAAATCCTCAAATTCTTAATCCCAAAAGGCCGGTAACGCACTTGTAACGCTTCTGGTGTTCCAGGTGTCCATGGGCGACGCCGACTGCTTATCGTCGGATGATCCGTCTGCTCGTCTCCCATAAAAAATAGAATAGAGCTAAATTGGAATAGCCAAAATTAAGTATTTTAAGACGAACGTCCACCGCCAAATGTTGCTATCGTCATAACAATTCTCTCAAACTTTATATCGGAATACCTATTATCAATTTATTATTGTTAACTTACCGAATCAATTATCCTTACTAATATTATAAATCGGAAAGTGAGTTTGTTTGTTTGTTCCACTTTCACGCCGTAACTACTCAACCGATTGCTTTGAATTTTTGCAGACGTAAAGTTAGAAGTCCGGATTAAATAATAGGGTACTTTTTAACCCGGAATAATTTGATATTCCCGAGGAAAAACAAAAGTATTGGTATAGATGGCGCTGTATGTACTGGTATATGTCACATAGGCTACTTTTTATCCTTTTGTGACGCGAGCGAAGCCGCGGGTAAAAGCTAGTGTAGTATAAGTCTTTGTCTACCTGTTGCTCTCTCAGGGCTAGCCAGTGAAGCCGTCTGGCCCCGAGCGAGGTAGAGGCACGAGGTTCATCGCAGCCTACACTTGAACCAAATCGAAGGGTATCTATGAACCTACTCACGGTTAAAACACAGCTGAGTATATTTTCTATTAAATCGATTTGCTTAAACTATTCAATATCGGTAATTGTCGTGTTCTATTAGTTAGACGGTGTGCTGAACAAGTGATTTTCATTAGATATAAAGTTTTAACATAAAATAACATCACGCCTTTTTATCCTCAAAGGGTTAGGCACAGGTGCACATTACGGCACTTAATGCCACTGTACAATGTAACATCCACTTTTCACTATTTATGTTATGTGTCCCAAGTAATAGAGGATGAGCTTATTGCCATATACCGGGCGCAATTCCAGACTCCTTGCTAGTTCTGAGATTATTTAAAAAAATCCAGTAATAGAGTTTTAGAACTTGATTATTTTAACAACAACCAGAGGCAAACTGATTGGCCAGCTCCAATGAACCAACCAATCACAGAACCGCACACGGTCTCATTTCGATTACATTAAACGTAAAACAAACTACTCGTACTTAGCCCTGTGACGAGTAAATGTATACAAAAGGTATTTTCTTGTGCAATAACAAACTTATTGCGAAAACTAAACTGCGAAAATCTGCTGCTGTAACTAACTTATTGCGCAAAAAAACTGCGAATAGCTCTACTACTCGACTAGTTTCGAGTCATAACGGGACTCTTATTCAAGAGCAGCGAGCGCATCCCACTGTGACTTAAAACTAGTCGACCTTTTCTTCGTGACTTCTATACTTTCAATTCAAATTCACAAGTTTTTAGTTTCACAACTTGTGATGCAAACGTACAACAGGTCGATGGCGCTGAAATAAACGTGTAGTTAAGTTACACGTGTAATATCTGAATGGCCTGTCTTGATTAAACTGCATACCAGATACTGGAAGCGACTCCCATACGCATGGACTCGTCATTAATGTAGTAATTCAATTTAAATACTTTAACACCCGAATACAGAAATACTACTCAATTTTATTCGCGCTAAAGTATAGTTCTGTCACTTCAAATTGTTTGTATAATGAAAGAGATGGCACGATAATTAATTACAACTTAAAACTGAGTAGCTTTTCAGTATGCTGAGAAGTTTATGTATTGTCCAACGAGGAACAAAGTGTAAAAAGTACAAATAAGGCTTTATTTTTTAAGGTTTCAATCTGTACTGTAGATGCCATTCATTAGAATTGTTGGGCAAATAGACTTTCGCAATATTAGGGGCCAGGGGTATTGTTCGCAACTTGCTAACCCTAAATAATAAAGACCTGCAAAGTCTTTGAAAAACCTGGAAAAAGTTTCCCACATCTACAACTAGAAACCATAAAAGTTAAACAAAAAAGTTAACTTCACGTTTTAAAGAAACAAAAGCTCTTTATTTGACATTGGCATTGAAAAAACAAACAATACAAGTTCACAAGCATATTGTCTTTCGTAAGTTGTTGCAATAACAATTTTATTTCATGTTATTGGTTTTATCAATAAAGGAGAGCCGGTATCAGTAAGATCATTGCAGATGTCAAGATCAAACTTGCCAAGTGCTATCAGAGTGCATGTGTCCTACAATAAAATAATTTTCATATGTATAAGTGTCCTGAGGAACACTTGAACATTCTATGTATTTCTTTATATCTTTGAATATTTTTCAATATCAAGTTCGAGATGAAAATAAGGCCTGCAAAACATGCAGGATTCAAGGTCCCGTTTCCATGACACTAGTCAACCTCCGTCTGTAATCATGGCAACGGGGGGGACTATCTACCTCTCAATACCCTATTATTATTATCCTATAATGTAAAATGCACCTTTAATATCACGATAAATCTTCTAGAAAATATTTTTTCCGGAGCTGTAGTATACAGCATCAAGGTTTAGGTACTATTTTCCTTTGAAAAGAAAAATAAGTGGGCTTGGCATTTACAAGAAGCTTCATAGAATTTCTTTAAGATCAAGTAGACGATTATAATTAATTTGTTGACTAGAAAGCAGGTAGGTAATTATGTTGTTTACAGATGAAATTCAATGTCAGGGTTATTGTGTAGAGTGCAATTTTGTGGCGCCCGTCGGTTACTTGCGAATGGCATTGGACCACACTAATATTATAAATGTGAAAGTTTCTTTGATTGGATTTTTGTCCGTCAATCACGCTAAAACTACTGAACGGATTTTGATGAAATTTGGTATACAGGCAGGGTATGGGCTGGCTTAGGTGATAGGACTTTTTATCCCGAATTAAATGCTTCCATAGGATAAAACAGGAATCATATTCTACGCGGAAGAAGTCGCGGGCAACAGGTAGTTACTTATAAATCTAGTAAAGTTAGTACCTTAAGTTAAAAGCACTTGTAAAACAAGTTCGATGTAGTTAATACACGTAGCAGTCCACTACGCTTTTGGCCACAAAGTGAGACAGATTAGTGGCCACTCTCAGCAAGAGGTCTCGTGTTCTATTCTAGGGATGATCAAAGTATGGATTGTTCGATGGCAAAGTTAGTAACCTAGTTTAAAAATGGAATTGTATCCATTTGCTGTGAATAGATTTGACCCCCATTGTTATGGAGCTTGTACTCTACGCGGCCAGCTGATAGCCGGTACGTTAATGTTCTTTTTGATGCTAAGTTCTAATCGGATCACATTAGCACTACTAGGAATAAACACTAAAAAGAATAATTTTATGGGATGGGGCGGAGATCGAGCACACGGGTCACT